AGTATTTTTTTACATATTTGAAAATCTATAGCCGCTTTCCCCACCGATGGAACGGTATATATTATATGACATCGAGTTTTTTTTGCACATTATAATAATGGCCGCGAGTTTGCGTCAGATCGAAATCTTCAGATTATTGAATGGGAGCTTTTTTTGTTGCACTTAACATCCTCTTAGAAAATCTGACGCGCTAGATCGAATTTTTTTCTTTTCACTTTTAACCCTTACGTACAACCACCCGTTTAATCTTCCTCTTGAAGATGATCACTTGGTGATCGAAACACGTGTCGAGGTGTTAAAAATAACGATTTGGTACTGGGAAAGAACTCCAGTAATATTTATTTTCTACATTGTCAGGAATCACACGTTAAGAGGTAAGACCTCATTATTCCTTAGCTCGCACAAGTTTCTCAACTTCTGAGAATTTTAGTTCATATGGGGGCGACAGTTGATCAACGAAAAAACAGATTCTAAAACAAATTGCGAATATTCTTCTCGGTGGATGAATATGACGACCGTAAAATTGGCGGAGCGCGCGGTACGTTGCTCGAAGAGAACACCCATTTTGATAAAAAAAATTACACGTGTTGTTGAATGCTGTAGCTATCCGTCCATGGTGATTTGGCAAAACAGACTGAATAAATGACAACTTATTTGACAATGATTGGATAAATCCAACCTCACTCACAAGTCAATAAAAATATTCTCGGACAGTCAAGCGGCGTTGGAAGCTCTTGGCTCCTACCGAGCAACGTCTTAATTGGTAGCAAACTGCCAAAAAAGACTCTCCTCGATAGGAAGACTAAACAGATTGTCTCTGGTTAGGAGACAGTTGTTGGACTACAGTAGGGATGAACTACGATGTCTGACAGGTCTTCTTACAGGTCACTGTCATTTGAATCATCACATGCAGAGACTTAGACTGTCGGAAGGCAGTGTGTGTCGCCTCTGTCTGGAAAATGATGAAACTACAAAGCATATACTTTGTTCCTGCCCCGCTGGGGACCGAATCAGGTTCTTTGAGTTGGACAGATCCGTACTCTCACCATCTGACCTGAAAGACCACTCACCATACAAACTAATCGGCTTTGTTGAGTAGCTGGGTTTATTTGGCCGAGTGTGAATAGGTTTGAGCCACAATAAACCCTTATGGGTTGCGGTGGAGGGTCGAATATACTCATTCACTTTAGACCTACCTACCTACCTACCACCACCCGTCGCCTATAAGTTGTACAGAAAAGGATAGTCCGATACTCGCTTCAAAATACATGTATTGTATTGGTATAGGCACCGTATAGGCATGGCAACCCTATGTCTTCTTATCACTATGATGCTCAGCATCATCAAGACGTTCTTGATTTTGGTCAACAGTGAGCTCACGCTGCACCCACTTTGACCAGAGTTTTCTCATAGTCAAATACTCATGTAATATAAAGCCGACACGTTCCTTTTATATCTTCACAATCTTAGCTAACCCACACAACTTCATTTTTCGATAATTGAAAACGATTTTGTGGATTTTATTTATGGTTTTATGGTGTAACTGCCTCATTTGGACCTCCACTGCGTTCTGCCCCATCGGTGTATCTGCCACCACGTTTGAAGTCAGCAAAGTAATATTTCATTTTTGTTTCTGATGGAGCGGAGTCCTTATAATACTTTTCAAGCCATTGCTTTGCTTACACAGTCATCTCTCATCATCTCATCTCATCAAGAAGCAGTGTGAAATTGAAACACGAAATTGTTATTTTGATTCATGGTTTTGAAATTAACAAAAGTGGTGTCACAATAACTCACAAACTTATGAGTACAATATCATGAAATTTCAACAGCTCTCTTTTGAAGGTTAGTAATAACTGGAAAAGCGTTGAATGCAATAATATGTGTGAAGGCAACCAATGTAGGACATATGCCATAAACATCATTCTACAACAACATTCTTTCACTAGATTGTGGAATCTCTCATCCGCACGTAGTCCCCAATCTTGTATAACAACCGAACATCTTGTGATGTGAACTGAACCAACACCTTTCAAAGGTAATTGAATTATGATTGATTGAATATTCGTCATTTATATGCGCATACTTGAAATAGGCATAATGCTATGCACGGGTAGTAACGGATATGGATTATTGAAGGGAGGCAAATTATTTCAATATGTCAGCCTCGAATAGGGGGAGAATTGAATACGTACCGCTTGACATAATTTCCGGGGTAAGGATATTTTGCAAAAAAACAAAAACATGTCGTTTTTTTCAGAAGTGGAATAAGTTTGGACTCAGGTTTCATTGCAAATCTCTTAATCCTCCCAGCGACGGTATCGTTCTTTGCAGATATCCATACCATGGAAATGTATTCTTACTGATATTACAGTATGGATGAACTCTTTGGCCCAAATTGGTGGATGCTGGGGCATCTTCACACTTATTACAAACGGTCCCACTTACTTCAAGTTTGTTCATGGATGGAGCGTACAAGCAGTTGAGTACCATTTATTTCATTTTTTTAATTGACTCATCCACTTACATAGGGTAAAATCTCTTTGTGATAAAAAGCATGAAATGATTCTACATCTGCAAAAAGTTCAACAAACGTCGATGAGAGCAATCTGGCTGAAATAGGACACCTCTCATTATATAATAATATGTGTTAACTTGCTTATTCAGAATATAATACCCCGCTACCCTTCTGAAAATTCTAGGATTTGAATTCGGCGGCGGACCCCACCAAATGCTTGTAGAAATACAAATTTTGTCACATTGTTTTTTTTCAGACAGGAATTCTGTCTGGTCTTCCTCATGTCTTCAGGATGCTTTGGTCCTACATTTTTTCTATGTTTGGGGATTATTTACTAAGATCCAACATGATGTCTAGAACGAATGTAAGGAAATTTGCAACCTTTATCTGTGAGTATTACTATCATATGCTCTTATTTTCTATATTATTTATATCACTACAACAACTAACAATCAATTATGATTACTGCAATCACGAAACTAGGCTGAATGTTAATACAAATGTATTAAAAACATTTATTGAATACTGAAATCACAAAAAATTATATGCATTACATTGGTTGATTAATGGAAACAACTATTTTCTCCAAGAAACATTTCGTGAAGATAATTCATGAATAGATATGACAGATATTCAGGAGAACATTCATTCACTATGTGGGATGTGAGAAACTCCTCACAAGTTTATAAGGCCTTCGACCGTGTCTAGCATAAGGGTTTGCTTGCCAAAATTCGATGCTACGGCTTGTCGGATCATTTTTGTTTATGGCTCTCCAGCTTCCTGAAAAAACATTCTCTGCAAGTGGCCGTCTATGGATTTACCATCAACGCTAGTGTTTCCCAGGGAGCCATATTGTCTCCAATATGAACGAACTTTTGAGCTCAACTTCTACATCGGATGGTGAATCTCATCCGGCCTGCTACAAGAGGTCTGATATAACATTTTTCTGACAGAAGAATAGGGTAATATAGAATTCTGACTCTGAAAAGTAAAAAAAAATATTCACTTTCTTGAGACACATTTATCCACTATTGATAAATGATTGTTTCACAATGAGGATTAAATACTTCGAATTGTGACCATGAATTCAGGCAGATTCCATGTTGAATTTTTTTCTTCATACTTTGAAACGTTGATTTGAATTAATTCAATCATAGAGAAAAGAAAATGATACGTGGGAGAGTTTTTCTGCATTACTGGGTTATGAAGGAAAACAACACTAAAATTTCTACAACCAACCAATATTTTAGATCAGCATGTGGAAAGAGCGTGGTAACAATGATAATTGTTGACCAATGTCTTTTAAAGTTCTTAATGTTATTAATCCAAGCAAACAGCGAAGAGCCATCATTTTGAATTGTTTGCGATTATGTTCGAAGTTCACACTAATGACGCTGGTACTACGCTTCACATGCCAGGCTGTCAAATATTCATAATCTTTCCAATTGCTCTACAGGTTTGAACATCTTTGTAGGTTCCCACCAAATAGTTGTCTGAAAGTGGGAGCTGAACTTCTTGGTTGTTCTTTCGAGTCTTATATAAAACTTTCAAAGAATTATAGCAGTGAATACATTTTTTAATGCCAGAAAATATTCATGTCACTATCAGCAATGGAATTATAATAATATATGTTATTTATTTAAGATCCGAATACAAATACAAATGAGAAGTACACATTGAAAGTTCAAATAAATAAGGAGATGCCCGATAAGTAGGGGTAAACGCAACATTTTTTGAGAAAAAAATTATGATGATCAAAGCGTAAGGCAGTAACTTGAAAATTAGTCCTTTCTACACTTGAGTAGGGTTGTAATAACGTACAAAAAAATTAAAAAAGATATGAATTGTGGAATTAGATTTCTTAGCGGATTCCTCCACACCAAATTCTCGATTTCAGGCAATTCCGAAAGAAGCGTGAATTCGGCCTCCTGTACGAAGATGAGGTCTTTTTGAAACCTGATCATTGGGTATACATACTTATAGTTTTATCTCATTATATGGTTAATTGAAATACTTTTCACTTACTATTCTCCTCTCGATGAATTGACTAAGAGATCTCTAGTCTTTTTTTCTTTTTCAATTTCATCTTACTCTACGAGGATGGTGTTTTTCTCAGTCCAAGATGAAATAGAATTTCGAGGTTTCCAATATAAAGTATAATGAATAAAACAACTCACATCTTCACCGACAGCAGGAGATTTCATATCTTAATGAGGATCTAGAGGTTACTTTGGGTTTGGGTGAAAGTAATCAGGTTCAGTTTAATGCCACGAAAACTTAGGCATCGGTTTTCTCCAAAGATATAAATGTCTCCGAACCGGATATAATAATGTCAGGGCAGACAATTTTGGTTTCTGCTTCGATAAGCGTTGAAGCTTTTTGAGTTAATAAACCTTGTTTATATCGTTTTAAATGCAACTTTTATTCAACTTGACTCACAGTAATTATCAATATTGAATTGTTTTAAACAAGTGACTAATCTGTCAAAATAAAATATCAAATTTATATACAGTGTCTTCAACATCATCCACCCCGTGAAGAAGTTTTCACCCCAGTAGGCAAAATACACAGTTTAGTGAGTGGTCTAATGAAGCTGTTCCTTTTCCCTATGGATTCGAATGACCCGTACCACGCCATCTCTGCCAGGTAACATTTCAGTTACGCGACCCAATAACCAGTCATTTCTTGATGCATTTTCATCTATTATCACAACGATGTCTCCTATTTCGATAGTTTCACTTCTGGAATGCCATCTACTCCTTGGAATCTGGGTAGGACGATATTCTGTGACCCACCTTTTCTAATATGAATTTGCCAAACTTTCAGCGAACCGTCACTGTTTTCTCCCGAGTATATCATTTTTGTTTTCACTGTAGATATCGACACCACCTGGTCTCAACAACAGAAAATGATTGGGAGTGATCGCTTCTGGGTCATTAGGGTCTACTAAGATATGTGTTGAAGGTCTAGAATTCAGTGTATATTCAATTTTGACCATCAAGTTTTGAAGTACTTCTTCTCTGGAGCAAGCTGTTTTCAAAGTTACCCTGAGAGCCGTTTTTACGGAACGAACCATACGTTCCCATATTCCACCCATAAGGCTAGCAGCTGGAGGGTTGAATTTCCACAAAGTTTCCCGGCAAGTAACTTCATCTGACAACTTTGTAAAATCCAGCGTACTAGCAGCTTCTTTGAACTCTCTTTCCGCTCCAACAAAATTTGTTCTATTGTCTGTGATAAATTGTTTAGGTTGTCCACGGCGTGAAATGAATCGTCTGATAGCAAGAATTGTTGAACACGTGTCAAGTGTTCTCTTTTCCTTTCAACGACCAACTGAAACAAATATTGGGCCAAAAAACTATATCTAAACGACTTGGTTGCAGCATCAAAAACCAGTTCTTCGGATTTTCTGTTATAACTTCATTCTCTAATTTTCCTGCATAACCTTTGTTTATATAATCTCGAATCTCAGCATAATACTGTTTGGCAAATTCGTTGTTGTGACTCATTTTCCTTTCCGTGCAAGCGAGACGTTTTATTGCATTCAATTTGCTGTCAGGTAATGTTGCCTGAGAATTTCTCCATTGGATGGAGAAATTATCTAAATCAGGTTCTTAGAGTTCGGCAGAGCCGTACTCTTACCATCTGCCCTGGAAGACCACTCATCATACAAACTAATCGGCTTCGTTGGGAAGCTGGGTTTATTTGGCCGAGTATGAACAGGTATGAGCCACAATAAATCCCTGCGGATTGCGGTTTAGACATAACCTAACCTAACACAGATGACGCTATTAGTAATGATTTCAGATGATTTTTAATTGAACCTAACCTTCAAAAGTCACGTGTACAAATTTTACAGCTGTCGGACTATTAGATTTTGAGTGAGATTGTTTTGAGTGAAGTTTTTTTATGAGTTTGAAAAAATGAATAAAAAGGAATTTGTTAGNATATGAAATTCTATAAAATAAAAGAATATAGAACGAAGGAAATGCCGCCAATTTGACTGTGCTCTATTCATTATTAATTCAACCTCTTAAATAACCACAAACGCTTCAACTCAGTACAAAATACTTTCAGTGTTACTTTTACTTCAGGGACAAAGGTATTCAACCTTGAATTTGCTTCTTTTCTACCTGAAAACTCCAGCTAAACAACCCACACTAGGAACCCAACTTAAATAACCTCTTTGCAAACAGGAAATGAACTCAGACAAAATAATATGTGAACAGACACACACTTACATATCGCCTCTTTGGTGGTTCGTGGTCAACCATAGGTTTCATTGACCCGGTGTGTCTTCAACACCAACACATTTATTTTCTACTTCCCTGTACCCAATACCGGCTGACAATTTCGCTACTGATTTTCCTTAAATTTCACACCCTGCGCTCAGGAACAAAATAACTTCCCAATTTAGGCCACTATCCGCAGCTTCAAAGGCTGAGGGATGACACCACAGAACCCACCGACCCCCTTCGTGGCTCTCGCAAGACTCCATCGAACCTTTCGTTTTCCCTGCCTTCCTAAAAGCCACGAAGAAATCACGAATTTCCCGTCCTCCCCGTTTTTCAAACCGTTCTTTGTAACAGTCGCCCACGTGGGACGAAAGTCATCAGAAAACCTATTTCGCTGAATTGACAAAACTCACGATTCCAAAGTTGGGATACTGATGGACCCATATCTACATCCTGATCAGTTTTCAGCTCCGTGACAAATATCTCTGAATATCTTTTGAAAACTCGCCGATGAATAGTGTTTATATAAAGACTCTCAGTCTTGCCATAATTTTACATTGTATGAGAAACAGATCCGGCATTTGAATAATTCTGAATTTCCTGAAGTTAGAATGTATATTACCAAACATAGCTTTCGCTAGGTATTACAGGGTTCTTCAATTTCCAGATTGTGGAAAGTTAATAATCACATGAAATGTTTAATAAAATCCCAGATTCTTTCACAAGAATAACTTTGGTTCAATATTGGAAAACAGATAAGTATTCCACAAGTTACATATATCACATTTTTCCAGGTTGTGGCATTCAGGGGCTTTTCATGCTAGGTCTGGCTTACTCTGGATGTAATCGGAATGCAGCAATTATTTTCCTCACACTAGCCGTTGCATCAAATGGAGCTGTATCCACTGGACCATTAGCAAGTATGGTCGATACTACACCCAATTATGCAAGTAAGTGATTAAGGAATTATGTTACTATTATTATCAATGGGTGAATTCTGGAACCTCTGGCGTGAAATGAATCCTTTTTCCATTAGAATTCATTGAAAGGATTTATGATTCCAATATTTGGCCGGAGGGTGCAGCAATTCAGCGTTTTACTTTCAGAGAAAAAAATTTTCGGAATCGCAATTACCGGAATGTGTTGGGGAAATAAAAACTACATCAAATAAAAATTCTCCCAAATTCTCGCTGATTCATGTGAATGTCCAAAGTTTAAGTAATAAAACAGACTTTATTGATATTCTAAATGATGAGGTGGTACCCGATTTTCTATGTATGACGGATGGACGAGTCTAAATTAGAACTGATAACCCTTAATGGTTATAAAAAAATGTCTCAATACTGTAGGACTCAACACTCTCATGGAGGGTCGGTGATTTATGTAAGAGAGGGAATAATGCGAGATTGTCAGGGAGTAGCGGATTTACAAGTTTTCGCGGAAGATCTATGCTTTGAATTATCTGCGGTTGGTTATAAGAGTGATTCCATGNTATGAGAGACTTTCAGATTACTTGAAAAAATTTGATTTGCTAACTACCCATCAGTATGGATTTCGAGAAAAGAGATCGACTGAGAGTGCTACGTCAAAATTGGTGCAATACATATATGATGAAATGGATGTAAATAATTATGTGGTAGGAATATTTTTTGATTTGTCCCGTGCTTTTGACGCGATAAATCTAGACATTTTAGAAACTAAACTCAATGTCCTGGGTATTAGAGATCGGGCAAATAAGTGGATAATGTCATTTGTAAGGCATCGGCAAATTTTTGTCAAAATTGAAAGGGAACTTTCCGAAGGTGAAGTTATTGATATTGGAACCCCCCAGGGTAGTATCCTTGGACCACTTCTTTTTCTCTTATATGTGAACGACTTACCAAACTTCATAGAAGGAGGCAGGTTGTTCATGTATGCTGATGACACCTCGATGGTGATTACTGGCCACACACTGGAGGAAATTTCTATCAAAACCGACAATGTTGTCAAACAATTTCTTTGGTGGTGCGACAATAACCGTCTAATTCTCAATTCGGAAAAAACTAAAATTATGCAATTTTCCACAAATCCTAGGTCACTGTCCAATAATATATCAATCAAAATAGATAATTTTATGGTCACTACCAGCCCGACCAATACCTTTCTCGGCACAATTATTGATGAAAAATTTATGTGGTCTGATCAAATCAACAGCGTATGTCAGAGATTGAACAAATCGTTTTTCGCCCTATATTCACTGAAATCAACCTTGAACAGATCATCCCTGCTAAACGTTTATTACGCCTTAGCCTACTTGTCAACTAACGCTAAAAATACCCAACATTCGCAGTTAACTTCAATGTCTTACGATTGTGTAGAGGCTAATGACAATGTCTACGGCGCGGACGATCCAGGTTCGTATCTCATAACTATAAACTTTTTTTAATCAAAATCACGTGACTGGAACGTGATAAGGGGGCCGAGGGGTGATGCGGAGTCCCAAGGAGACCGAGTTTCGTGCTGGAATCGCTACGATACTCGTTTCATCCTGCGTCGATGACGTCACACGGTTCTCTCTTCCACTCACTACAGTTTCTCTCTGAAATATTTACCAGCGACGCTCGACCTTGAAGTGGGCTCGTTCCCGCCTTGTTCATCTTCCAATAAATAGTTCAGCTAGTGACTCATAGGTGGCGCTAGGATTAGTGTTTACAGTGTCCTTCTTCAACCAATAGATAGTTCAGCTAGTGACTCATAGGTGGCGCTAGGATTAGTGTTCACAGTGTCCTTCTTCAACCAATAGATAGTTCAGCTAGTGACTCATAGGTGGCGCCAGTGTGGTGTACTCGCGACGATGCATCTGGGTCACGTGACAATTTGGAGCGCTCTGATTGGTGTACTCGCGACGATGCGTCTGGGTCACGTGACAATTTGGAGCATTCTGATTGGTCGCAGGATCCAAAATTGCCAGAATGAACCTCCATAAGAAAATTCATGGGGTTTTGTATGGAACTGTCCTAGCTCCTTTACTGAAGTCAAAGTCAAATTTCATTAATCATTTTTGATACAAGAATGTATATATGACACGTCACATTTTACGACAGATATTTTATCTAATATCACTTATATCAACAACAGCACATGTAACACAAAAATAATATTTTCATACTCTTTCAGGGAGTAAAAACAACTTGTTACCAAAAAAGTTTTTGACTTTTTTCTTGAATTTGAGAAAATTTGTTTCACTTCTGATGCTGTGTGGTGATAAGTTGAAATATTTTGTCCCGCCATAAAGTGGTGAACCTTTGTAGTCCTTACGGTTTATTTTTTCCTGATGGAAGTCGTTCCTCCGTCTCGTTTGATAAGAGTGAATTTCCTCATTTATTGTTAGCAAATGGGAATGTACGTGAACGTAGCTTGATATTTTGTGAAGATAAATATATGGTAATGTGAAAAATGTTTTGTCTTGGAATGTTTTCTAACAAGATTCTTTGTATTTGAGATCAAAAGTTAGTCTAATGAAGCGTTTCTGCATTATAAAGATTCTATTTATTTCTGATGATTATCTCCAAATGATAATATTTACATTAAGCTTAGAATACACTAGAAGTTTATATACACTATACACTAGATAATTTATATCCAAGAGATTATGTCTCAAAAAATTTGATTTCATTGTAAGGAAGGCAAAATACATTTTTTTTCAGAGAACTATACAAGTATTCGATGTGATTATTGAAAGACAATTTATTGTCAAGTTGTGTTCCAAGGAATTTTGTATATTCTGTTGTTTCGAAACTTAGATTTATTTGGAGAGAGCGCCGATACTCACTTGAAAACTGGATAAATGTTGTTTTATCTTCATTATTTATTGAATGATTGTTTCTACACCAACATTCGAATTCATTGATTACTAGTTTTGTTTTATTTTCAATTTCATTTAGACCTGAGGACGTCACAATGATTGTTGTGTCATCGACATACATGAAAACTCGACCATTGAGAAAAACCTAGCATTCAGTTTCAAGGTTAAACCAAACTTCACCATCAGATCTGGCCAATATGTGGGGAAAAAGAGACCAAAATGAGGTGATACACAGTTTTCAGTTGAAGTTACGTCAATATCATCTACTATGTTGCTTCAAATTATGATGTAATTATATTTCAAAAAAATATAGTGTAGCATTTTGAATCATTATTAAATATGTGGTAGTTCATGTTAGACATGCATATGTGTGAAAAATGTCAGTCCGTTCTCCTGTAAAATGTTATGTGTTGAGTCTACGCATCTGTTTTGGGTACCTCACACACATCCGTCTAGCATGACGTCGACAGATAATAACCTTGCATTTATTTCAAAGTCAAATCAAACTTGACGGCTAAATCCGGTGATGAGAGGTGAATAAATTTATTTTCAATCAAAGTGATTGCATATTCTACTTTTCAGTTATAGTTACGCCGATATCATATGCTGTGAAGGTCGTAACGGAATGAAAAAGCTACGTTCAATATCAAAATCGACAAGTTTTTTGTTAAATGTTACCAAGAAATACAGGTACAAACTATAGACAATCGGCTCATTAAAGCAGTTGTCTCTTCCGACAATTTTAAAATTCTTACCAAACCCCAATATTTTCTCAATCCTAAAATATTTCTCTTAACAATATGTATTCTATAATTCAATTACAATATGTTCAGTGTTTTTCCTACATAAAATATACCTAAATAATAACTGTTATTTTATTCGTCACAATGATTACAACATTACACAAGATTCAGATTTTAAATTCCATTGGATCGTTACAAGCAACAAGAATTCACTCTCTGAACTCGTATTTCTTATCACTCGTGCTTTATTGGTTTGATTCATGTTGAATTATCAGTTCACCCTACTTTAACACCTGTCTTAAATTTCAATCCGCCTTAACCTTACCTTGGCACAGCTCAAGTTGATAATTTTCAGATCAATACTCCACAAGATTCGACAATATCTACACATGCACGTTATTTACTCTCTTCAGTTCATACTAAATTACAATTCGTCCTAACCTTATCTTGACACAACTCAAGTTAATAATTTTCAGGTAAATAATTCACGAAATTTCACAATATTGTTTATCAAATGCACGTTATTTAATCTTCTCACTTCACACTACTTCAACACCTGTCTTAAATCGATTACAACATCACGACTCCCGGCCGTTCACACTCACAAACCCCACTTTTTAATGGAACAGGTAGTTTTGAAAATTATTCAACCCACACGAGGGTGGCAATTACTAAATTCCATCTTTAATGCTAGATACTATTGGGTCGAGCGCGCAGAGTTATTTTTTTTGTATTTTCAATACAGTGAATCGTGCGACATCTGAATGGTGTAATAATAGGAGCTTTCTAGCTCCTTTCTCATTTTTTTATTTTTTTAAAATTGAATTCAAGCAGCGCTGTCACCAGATGCAGATTTCTCCGCATCAAAATTTGAAAGTTAGGCAATTCCGAAAAAGGCTGTAGGGTTTGTGCCGATCGCACGAAGGCCGGTCTTTTTGGAATCTGATCATTTGGTATACTTACTTATATTCTCTATCATTATATGGTTCCAGAACGGAATTTCAATCTTAATTGACATGCTTTTCACCCACTATTCTCTTCTCGATAAATTGCCAAAAAAGTCTCTTATTTATTTTTTTCTCTTAACTTCATCTTACTCTACGAGAATAGTATTTTTCTCAGTCCGAGAGAAAATGAAAGTCTAAGATTTCAAATATAAAGTGTATTTAGTAGAAAAACGACTCCTTGGACAAAATAAAAACAACGTGTAAAATATTATATGAAAGGAAAATGTTAAATTTTATAAAATGAAAGAGAATAGAACAAAGGAAATGCCGCCAATTTTATCATACAATTTACTATTCATCTAACCTGTTGAATAATTACAAATGCGCCAACTCGGTACAAAATACTCTTAGTTTTACTTTTACTTTAGGGAGAGTGGTGTATAACTTTAAATTTTCGCCCTTTCTTGTAATTATATTAACAACTTTATCTAAACAATCAGCGCTAACAATCAGCGTAACTTTCTGCAAATAGGAAGTGGACTTAGATAAAATATTATGTGATCTCTCTCTAAATATCAGTTGATTAGTACAAAAAAAAAAACAAACACTCCCGTAACGCCTCTTTGAATGCTCATGGTCAACCATAGGTTCCGTTGACCCACCAACACTTTTATTTCAAACTCCCCTGCATCCATTACCGGTTTATAATTTAACTACATGAATTTTTCTTGAATTTCGCACCACCCGCTCACAAACAAAACAACTCCGCTGATTTAGGCCACTTTCCTCAGCCTCAAAGGCTGAGGGACAAGACCCCCGATTTCGTCTTGACGGGGTCCTGTGACCGACCTTTTTCTGTCTCGCCAGAAACTGCCAAGCCCTCGCGTCAGCTACGCTATCCACAAAAACCTCATATCATATCACCTTCCCAGGTGTATGATCATCGGCAGGATGCAATACATTTATTTGTTTAGTCAAAGTAGATTTTAACATGACCACAACGACGCTCGAAGGTCCGACAGTCATAAAGTAATTCAGCGCTTTTTCAACTGGAAAAATATCGACACCGAAGAAACGAGTGATCGACCTCGATCTCAATGAAAAAAATATTATTTTATGCTACTCTCGCAATGAACGTTATTACAATGGTGTATGAAATCTTGTGGATTTGGGGAAATCTGGCAACACTGCCCTATGGAGATTCCCATGTTGAGACAAAAATTTGCAAAACGGAGCTTGGCTTTTTTCTTCAAATTTACATGGTGTTTCCCATAAGGCGGTGTTGCCATTTGTCCCATAATCTCTTAGCTACCCTACTGTTATTGTCTTTTGGATCTTTGGGAATGGACGAAGAAGTTTGTTGACGACGGATAGATCAGTCAATTTGATGGTCTGTGAATACATTTTCATGGAGAGCTGATTTGAGGTGTGTTTTTTTGTGATGGTCTGTGAGATTGATAGATCTGTGGATGAGAGAGTTCGAAGCGGAGTTGGTTGATGCTGGATAATGGTGTGAGTTTTCTTTGAGGTATCTGCTTGTGTGTGTTGGTTTCCTGTAGACCGTGTGGATGAAGGAGTTGTTAGATTTTGTGATTAGAACAACTAGAAATGGAAAAGAATTATTGGTTTTAATTTCCATTATGAATATTATAGTTGGGTGGAGGTCTTTGAGGGGACAAAGGAAATTATGGAGAGTTTCGAAGCCGTGGAGCCATATGACAAAAACGTCTTCTACCTATCTGAACCAGCAAGAGGGTTTGTGGTTGAACCTGTCAATAGCCTTGGTTTCGAAGTCTTCATTGAAAAGGTTTGCAAGGACTGGTCAAAGAGGAGATCCCATGCGAACACCTTTTATTTGTTTGTAGAAAGTATCTTGGAAGAGAAAATATGTGCTGGACATACAGTGACTGATGAGGTTGAGGGTGATTATGGAAATTTGATGTTTCGTTTCGAAAATGTTCAGTGTGTCTTATAACGGAATATTAGTGAATAAAGACACTACGTCGAAACTCACAAGGATATCAATCTGTTGAATGTTGAGATTTTTGAGGATTTCCATGAAGTGGAAGGAATTTCATACGTAGCCGACTCTTTGCAGAACAGTCCTCGTCATACGTATGTCGATGTAATAGATTGACTACATTGACCTAATGTCACATTCCAAAACTCCTTTGACATCTGTCGAAGAAGTTGAGAAATAATTCATTAGGAAGTACAATAAGGACAAGTACAATAATAAGATTATATATCTTGTAAGAATATATAATTTTGAAAAACTTACTAATGTGAGAATAAAATATAAAATGGTTCAATAACGGAGAGACAAAACCTGAAATAATGACAGTATCATATTTCAGCGTGAATTTGTGAATGTGTGAATTTTGCTGAGACTTTCAATATCAGTTCTTTTATTCATTGAATGTTCTTTGTGATTCAATATGTATCATTTCCGAAAATATTACTACAGTTGTATTAATTTCTACATCTAAAATATGTGGTTTTCAAAATTCATTTTATGATGCTTCGAATCAACATGTTGTGTCGATGCACAATAATCAACATTTCGTTTACAGTCTCTCTTATGGAAAGTGATGTGATTACTTTGAAGTCTAGATGTTTGTCCTATAAGTATATGTTTTAGAACAATCCATACAAGAATTTTTGTATGCTAAATTGGATTTTTGTTTATTTGAAATTGGACATTTTACTTCACTGTATGAATTGGTTATATTAGTGACATTTATTCTGGATATATTGATGTTATTATTTTGGAATACATTAATTGATTTTGGTGTCAATTATTGAATATATGGGAGTGATTTATATATGAATGGAGGTATAACGTTGTGCTGTTCAACTTCTTCATTATTTTGAAAGTTTCTTCTTTCACGGAATGAAATTCTGTTTACTGAAGATTTAGGATAAGAATTTTGGATCAGAATTTTTACTGAAATTAGACAAACTTTTGTTTCGTAAATCGGGATGTGTAATTTTGATGATTGTGAGTAGGTATACAAAGTTCGTTCTGCGTCATTCACTTCCGGTGTAGTCGGATGGCGAGTCGGATGGCGATGGTCAGTTGGATGGAGGGTCGGTGGTGGTAGGAAGAGCAAGAACAACCCCAGCGAGGTTTATTAGGGTGCGGCGCTGCAAAGAGCAACCCTTGCGTGTGTGTGTGTGGAGGGTTGTTGGTCTTTGTTGGTGGTGTGGGGTGTGGAAAAGAATGACAAGTGACAGAGGCGCCGTGACAGGTGTTTGGTTGGGGTGCAGGATTTCGGTATGGTTCCTTGATTTGGATCCCTCGACTTGGACCTCGATTTGGGCCCTCGACTTGGACCTCGATTTGGGCCCTCGACGGACCTCGATTTGACACACACACACACAAATTTTCATTTTATTCAAATGAAATATATCAAACAGTTTCTTTGCATATTCACAATTGTTATCATGTATTATTGATAAAACCGTAGTAAACAGGAAATGTGATACAGGAAATGAGATAAGAGACACTGAAATACATCATTTAACGACATAAGAGTATAATATATTTTCGATGGTTTGGTCAGTCATATGAGTGTGAGAGAGATGGAGCTTCGAACTGATCTATTTCAAAGATAATAGTAGCGTAAACAGTTCGGTGTTGTCGGTTGTAAAGCTAAAGCATTGTGACTTATGAGACGTTGCCGGTTTTCTAATAAGGAACGTATGAATTTCAGCGTTTAAGAAGAAAAAAACATGGCGGAGGATATTAAAGAAAAAAACATGGGAGTCCAGCATTAAAGAAAAAACATGGCTACCATCGTGATTTACGTGGTATGCAGCGTTTAATAAAAAAACATGTCGGCAAAAATTGAATGGAATATACAACATTAAAGAAAAAACATGGCTGCCAACATGCAAGTAAAAAACATCCAAGTTGACGAAGAGAAAACATAGATG